TGTGTCCCCAGGGGACTATGCTGACCTCACCGTTGCCCTCTGGAGCATGGCCACCTATGAACTCCTGTCATGCACTCGCCTCCCAGAGCCTGTGCATGGTGTGGCCTTCAACCCCTGGGATGCCAATGAGCTCATCAGTGTGGGCACAAGTGCCATTACCTTCTGGCTCCTGCAGCACAGTGGGACAGACACCAGCTTTCAGGTATCAGACTGATGACTGAGGTGTTTCTTTTTTTTTTTCAATTTTTATTTTATGTGCATTAGTGTTTTACCTTCGTGTATGTCTGTGTGAGGTTGTCAGATCCCCTGGAACTTGAATTACAGACAGTTGTGAGCTTCCATGTGTTTGCTGGGAATTGAACCCAGGGCCTTTGGAAGAGCAGCCAGTAATCTTAACTACTGAGCCATCTCTTCAGCCTTAATGTGTTTCATGGGCAACTTCAAATGATGGAATCTGACTGCCTCAGGACATCATTCACCCACAGCCACCCTTGTGCTCTGTCAGGTACACCGGGAACCAGTCCCTGAAGAATTGGGGGTATCCGAGTTGACGTCACTCTGCTATGGGGCCAGCCCCCTGCTCTACTGTGGCTCCAGCTCTGGCCAGGTCTGTGTCTGGGACACTGGCACTGGCCGCTGCTTCCTGTCCTGGGAGGCCGATGAAGGCGAGATTGGTAGGTGCCCAACAACTTCTGTAGCTCTCCAACTGTACTAGCTGTTGCAAGCTGGGGCGGGGGGGGGGGGCCGGGGGGCATCTCATACTCACCCTGTCTTCTAGGAGTGCTGCTGTGCTCGGGCTCAAGATTGGTCAGTGGCAGTAACACAAGAAGGCTACGCCTTTGGGCTGTGGGGGTCGTGCCAGAGCTGAGGCGCAAGGGCTCGAGTGCCAGGTGAGCTGCCATGGGCCTCTGTCCTGCACCTTTCCCTTGGGTTTTGGCAGCAAAGCCTTAAGTCCTTGATGGTTCCTGCAAGCCAGCACTGCTGTAGCACAGCTCCTAAGTGAAAGCTGCCCTACATACCTGTCATAGCTGGTCCCTCCTTGAGAACACACGCACGCATAGCATGGGCCTTGCAGGCTACAGACCAAGAAGAGATGGGCTTGAAGCCCCTGGGCTCTTAGGGTCTTGGTTCCTTTACCCATGAGAGCACAGCACCAGCTGGCTGCTGTTTCCCCACCACCTGGCATACTCAGCTGGCTTGTGTCTCCAGCCTCAAGACCCCTTTCTCTATTCTTTCAGATCCAGTTCTGTTTTCATGGAGCGTGAGCTGACCCTGGATGGGGCTGTTGTGAGTGCCAGCTTTGACAGTGGCATGGACATGGGTGTAGTGGGCACCACAGCTGGCACGCTCTGGTATATCAGCTGGACAGAGGGCACTAGCACCCGCCTCATCAGTGGCCACAGGAGCAAGGTGAGCCTGCTGGGATGTTAAGGAAGACAGGGTTTCCACCCCAGGCAGGGTAGGCTATGGTAGCAACCCACTTACTACCCTCCTCTTCCATCCTAATCATCCTGTCTTCAGCTCATAGTAATACTTAGGGAGACTCAGGTGGGCCCTCCAGGCATTGCATATATCTGTTAGGGTCCTGACTGGCTCTGCAGCGTTCCTAGATCCTTGCTAGTGTTCCTGTTTTACTTTTCTTTCTTGTAACTTGTTAAGGATGCACATTACTTGCTTAGCAAGCACTTCCCACTGGCTGCCTTTGCTGACATCATTAGGGTACTACTTTGGAATCCAGTTGGCAGAAGGCCCCAGCAGGTTCTGGTTGGATCTGCTCAGATGCAGTTAGAACTGGTCTGGATGTTTCAGGTGTGGTCATATATAGGGCCAGGCCAGTCAGTTGATGGGAGTATCTGGATGTATTCATGCCTGACAGTCATGTGATAGATTGTGCATGTGGCCTGTATCGGGCTCCCTTCACTGTCCATCAGATTTCTCTCCCACACAAGTTTGGGTCTTGAGCCGCTGAACTGTGCTGGCAGTCCTGATTGTTTTCCAGTACTAAGGTTTGATAGGAGTTCCAGACCCAGAAGCCATGATATGAACATCATGAGCCCACCGTTTGTCAGCTGAATGGAGCTAGACATGAGACCCAGGACCCCCGAGCAGCTCTTAGCCTTCAGTTTCCTCCAGGAGATGTCATGCATCAGTTTGTCATTGCATCGTGGCATCTGTGCTACCTTCCTCCAAAAATCCTGATTCTCAGTGGTGCCCATAAGATACACACCTGTTTTCTCCATCAAGACATTCAACAGCCTGAAGGAAAAAAAAAGCTGCAAAGCCAATCATGTCACAAGTACTGGAGACAGCCAAGTTCTTGTGCTTTTGCTTTCAGTCTGTAGCCTACCAGAAACACTTGGTCACTTTATATATTTTAGGTTCTGTCAATGTTTCCCATGGGTTTCCAAGTCCTGCCTACTGATAGGGTCATCCCCAGGTATAAGGAAATAGCATGTACCTCCACATGGAGGTGGTTGGGCCAAGTAGGCTTGGGCAGAGGACAGATGTTCCTCTGTGGGTAGCCTGGTCCTGGAGACCAGGTAGGAAGGGCCCATCTGGGCATCCCCTCATCCATACTGGGATCCCACAGGTAAACGAGGTGGTCTTCAGCCCCAGCGAGTCTCACTGTGCCACCTGCGGTGAGGATGGGAGTGTGAGGGTGTGGTCTTTGGCCAGCATGGAGCTGGTGATCCAGTTCCAAGTGCTGAACCAGGTAGGTGGGGAGTTCTGGGGGGCAGACTTAGTGTATGCTCAAAGCAGAGCCCAGGTCATGTACTATGCTCCCATGGGCTGAAGCTGATGCCTTTGTCACCTCCCTGGGGAAAATGCTGATTTTTCCCCACCATGGGACACTAGAGCTGCCTCTGCCTTGCGTGGACCCCCCATCCTGTGGACGCCCAGAACAGCAGCAGGTGGTGGCAGGCTACAGTGATGGCACACTTCGAGTCTTCAGCATCTCTCGTACTGCAATGGAGCTCAAGATGCACCCCCACCGGACTGCTCTGACAGCCGTTGCCTTCTCCACTGATGGTGAGGAGATGGGGCCACAGAGACTGATGTGCCAGCCTCATCTGGCCCACATCACACTCTAGGACATGGGCTAGCCTCACAGGGTGGCAACATAGTCTCCATCTGGCACAGGTCAGACCATCCTATCTGGAGACAAGGATGGGCTTGTGGCTATAAGCCACCCCTGCACAGGAATGACCTTCCGTGTACTCAGTGACCACCGGGGTGCTCCAATCTCTGCTATCCAGAGCACAAGCAAAGAGGTAAGGCAACCTCATGTGATGGTGTGGAGAGGTCTGGGTGCTGTGGGCAGTTGGCAGGTTCTCATATCCTTCATTTCTCCCAGTATGGAGACCTAGGGCTAGAGGGTGCAGACCTGTGGCTGGCTGCAAGTGCAGACCAGCGGGTCAGTGTCTGGGTCTCTGACTGGCTCCGGGACCGCTGTGAGCTCCTGGAGTGGTTGAGCTTTCCTGCACCTGCCACCTCGGAGGTAAGAGTCCCAGGGGCATGTGGGTGGGGATTGCGACCTGCACAACTCAACATACTATTTCTCCCAGGCTGTAGGCCTCCTGCCCCCCTCTCTTGCTGCCTTCTGCCCTTGGGATAGGGCGATACTGGTGTGCGTAGGCCTTGGTGCACATGAAGAGGTGGTCTTCTACAGCCTCCGCCAGAAGCAGGTTTGTGCATTCATGATACATGCTGCATTGTAGGTAGGCATCCAGGGCTGCTCATCACAGGGTGATAAGGTCATGGAGTCTGGGCTGTGTCCCTAGTGGGAGTCCCCAATATCTGTCACGCTGTCTGCTGTCCTACAGGTGGTACAGAAGACACCGCTGCCCTTCTTTGCCATGTCCTTGAGCCTGTCCCCAGGAGCCCAGCTCATGGTGGTTGGCTTTGCTGGTGAGTGCTGGTAGACACATTTGTACTGTTTGGGGGACTGACTAACTGGCCCACCCACTCTTCATCTCTGTGCCTGGGGGCTTCCTCTCTTTGAAGAGTGTGGAGATGTAGCCCCAAAGAGGGCCTAAGCTCGAAGGCAAGGTGCAAGTTACCAACCAACTGCAGCACCTGCGCTGAGGCACATGGGGCAGCTTTGATGGCCTTCAGCCATAGCAGGTTGGGAAGACAGAGATTGAGCATGGGCTTTGACTCCTCAGCAAGATTCCCTGGTGCTAGCACTGAGTCAGGCCGGGGGCACAAGAGGATTGGGTGTCCCTCTGGGTGCTGCCTGGCCCTCTCATCCTGTCATCTACCCACAGAATGCATGCTGAGGCTCCTAGACTGTGTGTCAGGGAGTGCCCAGGACTTTGAAGGCCATGATGACTCAGTACACCTGTGTAGGTTCACCCCATCTGGCAGACTGCTCTTCACAGCTGCTCACAATGAGATCCTGGTGTGGGAAGTCACCAGCCCCTGAACTTTTGCTAGGAACAGGCAGAAAAGCCAGACTGTGGATTGCTGTGTGCTGAGCCAGGATGGCTGGGACAGGCTTCAGAACTACACCATTTTGCATGTGGGTGACCTGAAAACATTTAAGGAAGCTGAAGGTGTGGCAATGTCTTAGAGTGTGTGAGGACAAGGATTTGATCCGCAGAACCATTCATTCCTCCCTGACAGACAAAAAACTTAGCATACTGGGAAGGTTTTTCAGATGAAGGTTGTTTTATTGTTTTTATTATGTACAGTTTAAATAAAATCTGGCATTTGCTATGTTGACACATTGTTTTATTATTGCTCCATAAATTACATCTCTGCATCACTTCTGTCCTGAGCTCAGTCTTTGCCCCTACCCCCCAATCCTGTCGTTTGTTTAGCCTTTCTCGCCACTGGCCTGTCCACCTGAGGAGCTCGTTGGGTCCAACAGAACTGGCTGCATCACCTGCAGCATTAGGAGCATCCATGTGGTGGCGCCGACGCGTAGTTTAACCAGTAGCTGGAGCTGCGCGGGCGGGACCGGAAGTTTGGATGAGGGCGGGATTAGAGACAGGAAGTGTGGGGGCTTGAGCGGGTTGAAGGAGAGGGTTGGGTTGGGGTTGGGTATAGTTGGTCCATTTTGGGCCGGGAGGGGTGGTATTTGGACGCTGCTGCGGGCGGCAGCCATGCGGCGCGACGTGCGCATTCTGCTGCTAGGCGAGGGTAGGCTCCGGGACCGCGGGCAGACGGGTAGGGTCGCTGTGACCTCGGCCATGCTCCTGACTACTGTTCCCTCTCTGCGCACAGCCCAGGTCGGGAAGACTTCTCTGATCCTGTCGCTGGTCGGCGAGGAGTTTCCCGAGGAGGTGTGCCAGCCGGACTGGACACTCGGGGAGGATGCGAGGCTCTGGGCGGCCGGGCTCCGCAGTCAATCCCGACCCACCTGTTGCAGGTCCCTGCCCGCGCGGAGGAGATAACCATCCCCGCCGACGTCACCCCGGAGAAGGTGCCCACTCACATCGTGGATTACTCAGGTATCTCCAAGTACTGCCCCCTCAGCCGGTGTGTATTGGGCCTTCAGCCGGTCTGCAGCGAGCCAAGCAGCCTCTCTGCATGGCTTTCTCTTTCCTTCTAGAAGCGGAGCAGACAGAGGAGGAACTTCAGGAGGAGATCCACAAGGTACGTAGAGATCCGGAGGGCCCGTGGGTACTGAGCCCCATTCATTGGTCCTAACTTGCTGCCACCTAGTCTTAATCGGCTTCTTTTGCGGAGCTGGATTAGGTGACAGGCTGTGCTTGATTGACCCTGATAATTCTGCTGTGACCTTCAGCACTGAATGTTATTGGCTTTCCCATCTCAAAGCTTTCTGGGAGCCAGGACTGGTCCAGTGCCTCCATTAGTGCTCAGGGAGAGAAGGGACCTCCCTTCTTTGTCCTTCCCAGGGTCTAAGGGGAGCACATACATGTGTCCTTCACTGCTTCAACTTAAACACTATACTCCCTTTCTCCTACCAGTCTACTGCCTGGCTCCCCAGGCTGTGGTGGATGCCGTCTTAATTAGGGGTTAGCTGTTGCCGGAGTTACCCGTGTTCCTAAATGCAGTCCTTCGGCCTCTGTGTCCTGTGGGTGCAGGCAGGGTCTCCTCGCTCTCGTCCGCAGCGCCCTTGCTGCTTGTACTGAGCTACAGAGACTCTGGTCACGACTGTACCCTGTGTGTGGTGGGTGTGTCCTAAGCACACAGGACAAAGACGTGCTGACTAGAGCCGTGGTGCTAGTGTCTGGCGTCTCTTAGGGAGTGCTGGCAGGGAGAGGCTTGTCTGGTAAAGGTGGGCTTCCCAGTCTTCATGGCCCATCCTGCTGTGAGCACCTGGGATCTGCTGGAGTGACCCATGCTGCTTATAGCGAGCAGGCAGCCTCTGGTCACCCTGTGTCTTGCTTTCCCTTAGGCCAATGTAGTGTGTGTGGTGTACGATGTGTCTGAGGAAGCCACCATTGAGAAGGTGAGCAAGAGGGGAGCTCCTTGTCCATCTCAGCCCCTGCTGCTAGTGCCTGACCTAGCTGGCAGTTGACCTGGGCAGAACGTAGTGGCTCTGGTTCCTCAGTCCTCACTCCCAGCTTCATCTCTGTTGAGCCCCCTACCTTTGAGCTAGGGACTGCTTGGGGAGATTGCAGCTGTTGGGATCAGACAAGTCCCTATCTGTCATCCTCAGTCTCCCAGCAGCTTCATCCACAGGACCACAGTTGCCTTCCAACTCTGCTCCACTCGTAAAGCTTGCTTAGCCTCAGGTAGGGGAGCATGTGTGCATTCTTCCCTCACATTTGGACTCTCTCTTTCAGATCCGAACCAAGTGGATCCCCCTGGTGAATGGCAGGACTGCAACAGGGCCCAGGTGACCAGCAGGGCCTCAGCTAGGGGGACTATACCCCACCTGCTCCCCATCCCTGGTGATCATGGCCTCTCTCCCAGGTTGCCCATCATCCTGGTAGGCAATAAGTCAGACCTGCGACCAGGGAGTACCATGGAGGCTGTGCTACCCATCATGAGCCAGTTTCCTGAGATAGAGACCTGTGTAGAGGTGAGCAGGGAGATTGAAAAGGGCTGTGTTAAGACCCTACAGCAGCTCCCTAGGTCTGTCTTGGATCCCTCCTTGATTCTGTCCCCATCCTTGTCCAGTGTTCAGCCAAGCACTTGAGGAATATCTCAGAACTGTTCTACTATGCCCAGAAGGCTGTTTTGCACCCCACGGCCCCCCTTTATGATCCTGAGACCAAACAGGTGAGTAGCAGGTGAGGGCCACACACTTCCTTCCCCAAGTCTCATCCCACGGTGCATGGATAAGGAGAGCAAATGAATGGGAGCGCTGGCAGGGTGAACAGGAAAAGGGCCACTTGGTGTTGTATCCCCGCAGCTAAGACCCGCGTGCGTCCAGGCTCTCACACGCATCTTCAGACTCTCGGATCAGGACCTAGACCAGGCACTCAGCGATGAGGAGCTCAATGCCTTCCAGGTGTGGTCCTACCCCAAGACCCTAGCTGCCCTCATAAGAGTACTCACGGGCAGCTGACTGATCCGAAACACTTTCTTACCGGAGGCAGAAGTCCTGCTTTGGCCATCCCCTGGCCCCACAGGCCCTAGATGACGTGAAGAGGGTAGTGTGCAAGAATGTGGCAGGTGGCGTACAGGACAGCCAGCTGACCCTGGAAGGTGAGGCAGACATCACCTTGGGCTCTGATGTGTGGGGAGGGGCTGGGCTGAGTGCTAGTCCTCCACTTTTTCACAGGCTTCCTCTTCCTGAACACACTCTTCATCCAGCGTGGCCGTCATGAGACCACGTGGACCATCCTGCGGCGCTTTGGTTACAGTGACTCACTGGAGCTGACGCCTGACTACCTCTGCCCACCGTGAGTTGCAAGCGGGTGGGCAGTGGGGCTTATACTCTTGGGGTGGATCCTGCTCACTGGGACTGTCTGGGATTGGGGCCTTCAGCATTGACTTCCTATTGGATCTGTCTTGATCTTGTGACCTGGGGACTCCAGCTTGGCCTCTCAACACACACTCATTGCCTAGCCCCTGCCATGTGACCAGAGGGTTCTGTTGGGGTGCCTGACTGCCCAGGCAGGTCCTGCGTTGTGATATTTGAAATGCACTAGACTGCCTCTCACATCCCCACAGGCTCCATGTGCCCCCTGGCTGCAGCACAGAGCTCAACCACCGTGGCTACCAGTTTGTGCAGCGGGTATTTGAGAAGCATGACCAGGTGAGCACCACTACCTCACCTGCCCCTCGACACACCCCAAGCACATGTCACCACAGCCCCTCTGCCTATAGGACCATGATGGTGCCCTCTCATCCTCGGAGCTACAGAATCTCTTCAGTGTATTCTCAGTGGCTCCCTGGGGCCCCAAACTCCCATACACAGTCCCCACTCAGGCTGGCCGGCTGACCTTACATGGCTATCTCTGCCAATGGACGTAAGTACTGTCTGCACCTGTGTGTCTGTTCCTACCCACCCTGGCCTTACTCCCCTTCGCACTGTGCCTCTCTTTACCCCAGCCTGGTGACCTACCTAGATGTCCAGCAATGCCTTGCACACCTTGGCTACCTGGGCTACCCCACCCTCTGTGAGCAGGACTCCCAAGCACAGGCCATCACAGGTGGGTAGCAACTTTTTTGGTCCCTGGACCCAGCTCCTCCTCAGTGGCCAACCCCCTCATGTGAGCTCTTTACAGTTACCCGTGAAAAGAGGCTGGACCAGGAGAAAGGGCAGACACAGCGCAGTGTTCTTCTGTGTAAGGTGTTGGGAGCCCAAGGAGTGGGCAAGTCAGCCTTCTTACAAGCCTTCCTTGGCCACAGTCTGAAGGTGAGAACTGTGGCGGCCCCAGCCTCTACCAGGGAACTCAAGGGGCGGAAGAGGTACCACAGGGAACTCTGGAGCCAGGAGATAAAGGCTTCTTTCCTACTTCCACACAGGAAGCCAGAGAACTCCCTGAGGAACGCCCCATGCACACCATCAACACAGTGCGGGTCAGCGGACAAGAGAAGTACCTGATTGTAAGTGAGGGACTGTATCCCCCACCCCCCCACCCCCGTCTTGGAGGGTTAGACCTGTGACTCCCCATGTTCCCTATTCTATCTCCTAATGGAGCTGTCCCAGGGTGGCTGTTAGGGGGACCTAGCCTTGGGAAGCTACTAACACCATTGTTTGTCCCAGTTGTGTGAAGTGAGTGCTGATAGCCTGCCGGACACCTCCCTGGACACTACCTGTGATGTCGCCTGCTTAATGTTTGATAGCAGTGACCCCAAGACCTTTGTACACTGTGCTACCATATACAAGGCAAGTCCTGACCTTGGGTCCTATAAGGGGATCCCAGCCAGAGACTAGCTAGATAGGCCAGCAAACTCAGTTCTCACTTTTCTTCCCTGTCAGCACCATTACATGGACGGGCAAACCCCCTGCCTCTTTGTCTCCTCCAAAGCTGATCTCCCTGAAGGTGTTGCCGAGCCAGGCCTGTCACCAGCTGAATTCTGCCGAAGACACCGGCTGCCTGCCCCCACCTCGTTCTCCTGCTTAGGACCAGCACAGCCCAGCACAGCTGTCTTTACCCAACTTGCTACCATGGCCACCTTCCCGTGGGTACACCTAACGCAGCCTTAGTGTGGGGTGGCTATCCCAGGGCTTGGTCTATCTTCTGGGTACAAAGGTGTCAGAGCTGCAGGGTGGGGCCTGTGGCCCAGAGAGCTGTGCTGGGTGTCCTCCTTCGGCCTGGCCTCTGACTGCTCGGGACACGGGTTTTCAGCAGGGAGCTTTTAGCACGTGCCTTGCACATTCGTCTCTCCACAGACACCTGATGCACACAGAGCTGCACCCCCCATCCTTTTGGCTCCGAGGAATGCTGGTGGCTGTCGGGACTGCTGTGGCTGCTGTCCTTAGCTTCTCACTATACAGGGTCCTAGTGAAGAGTCGATGATAAAGGACCCATGAGCCTCTCCTAACCAAGGCACAGCATACTGCTTCCTCGTGGTGACCCACATGGCAGAGGAGTATGGGTTTTCAGCTTGGCGGTGTAATGGCTGTGTGGCTACAGGGTCCCTGGGACTGATGTGGAGTACCTGCTCAGGGACTTGGCTTCAAAAATCTATTGCTCCATAACAGGGCTGTGTTTTGCCTTGTCCTGCTGAGCCTGAGGGTACAGGTGGCAGCCTTGGAGAGTGTATTGTGTGTTAGGGGCTCGATTGTGGGTAAGGAAGCCAGGGACCAGGACCAGGAGTTCTCGGGGTGCTCCCTGGTTCATGTGGGGAGCAGGAGATGGTGGTCAAGTCGGGGAGGGACACGACAGTCACAGAGTCCTCACCTTTCTGTATGGTGTGGAGCTATACCCACACCGTACCAGCTTCAGAGAAAGTGGAATTGGGTTTCCTGATTAAACTTCACTCGTCTTTTCCACCTCTTGGATATTGGTCTCTCAAGATGACTTTTTTTTTCTTAAAAAAAAATGTTTATATGTTTGCTTTGCCTGCATGTATATAAGTGTACTGTGTATGTGCCTGGTGCTCACGGAGGCCAAATGAGTGTCAGATCCCCTGAGACTGGAGTTAACTGATGTAAACCACCATGTGGATGCTGGGAACAAGTCCAGGTCCTCTGCAGGAGCATCAAGTGCTCTTAACCACCAAACCATCTTCTTAGCCCCTTAAAAATGGCTTTTCTTCAATCAGTCTAAATGTGACTTCTGTCTTTGTGTGAATTAGAAATGTCAGCTGACCCTCCTGTCTCCCTCTGTTCTGGGTCCCTATTCTTAGGTCTCACTAGTCACAGTGTTAAATGGCTATGGTAGATCCAGTTGGGGGCTGCTGTTCAGTAAAGTCAGGATCCACCAATGGGTTGGGTGTGTGTGACAAGTCCAATGCACATCCCTATTCCCCCCCTGGGGATGTAGCTGATTCCTTAGTACCCACACTGCATACTCGACCAGTCAGCCTGCCTAGCTAGGCTTTATGTGTAGCCTGACTGTTATGAGTAAGGGATATACAGAGACTAGATCCCTGCCTGGCCAGGAGCTGAGGTGAGGATAGACAGTGGGACTCAGAGTTATCCTGCAACATGGTCTACCACCAAGCACACAGACAGGAATCTGCATATCCACATAAGCAGTGTGCGGTTTGAGTTGGGGCAGGTAGTACTCTCTGCCTCAGAATGTCTGCCTAATGGGGATCCTTGAAAGGGGAAGTCCCTCCCTTTTGCCTGGTCTTCTGTCCCACTAAAAGCATCTGGACAGGATGCTTTTTTTGGGGGGGGTTTACGAGACAGGGTTTCTCAATATTGTTTTGGAGGCTGTCGGTCCAGCCCGGCCTCGAATTCACAGAGATCCGCCTGCCTCTGCCTCCCGAATGCTGGGATTAAAGGCGTGCGCCACCACCGCCCGTTGGACAGGATGTTTTTTGTAGGCAGCTGTATTCCCTATAGAGGAACTACCATTGCATCTCTGCAGCAGAAGATGCCATTTTGAGTGATACTTGGAGGGGTTGCCATGGTTACATGTCCCATTGGTCTGTCACCTTCACTGTCCTCAGGAACAAATCCCCTCTTTTACAAGCTGTGGTCTTACCTTACTTCAGAAGACTGTGTTTGCCTGACTATCCCCTGTGTCTGAGTCTGTTTCTGCACTGGAGGCCCTGCTGTCTCGAATCTAGTGCAGAGGTGTTTGGTTAGAGCTTCTAGCCTTAGACACCAGTAGGGGGGAAGGGTGTGAGCCTTGGTCTGAGCAGTGGCAGTACCCTGCCACCTGGTGTGTAGGCTTGCTTTGCAGGACCTGGAGTTTCCTTGCTGGAACACTGCAAATAATAAGGACAAGCAGCTCCCAGCCCAGGAGAAAGTCTTGAGTGCAAATGAACCTTGACATTCTGGGGATGGGCCACGGGCCTTTTTTTTTGGCTGGGCTAAACCTTCCTAGAGAAGGTGCTAACTAAGCATGCGAGTACAGAAGCCAGAAAGGCTGCATAAGAGGGATATTGGGTGCCGCAGGTTCCCAGCTACAGCCTCTTGGGAAAACCTGCAGCACGCAGTGCAAGAGCTATGCGCAGGCGGTAGTTCTGGGTCGAGCTGTTTGGTGGGGGACCGTTTTACCCAGGATGTGCGGCGAGTCGGGGCGGCGCGTGCGCGCTGGGTACGCGTGTGCTCTGCCTGTGTGCGCGCAGGGCTGACATCTCAGTGACGCTGTCTGAGCTTGGTGCGCGCAGAGCAGAGCAGGTGGAGCGGGCCGGCCGGGGCGGAGCGGAGCGGTCCGCAGAGAAGCCCCTCCCGGCCTCGGCCGACCCCGGCCCTCGGCCCGGCTCTATGGACAGGAGCTCGCTGCTGCAGCTAATCCAGGAGCAGGTGCGTGGTGGGTGGGAGCTGGCACTGCCTTGGCCCCCTTCTGGCCGGTGAGGGGCTCAGGGGAGGGACCATGTTCGCAGAAGGCCCTGCCAGGCAGCCACCTCTGAAGGCTCCCCGAAGCCTGAATGACCTTGGCTTCTGAGACTCGCGACCCCAGGAAAGGTCTGGCTTCACTGGGTTTCCACGGAAAACTGGGGAGGGAGGGTGGTGATCCTCGGACCTAGATCCTCCCCCTTCTAGGACTGGTAGGGTGAATATGAGGTGCTAGAGCAGCCAAACCAGGCACCTTACCCTGCCAGGGCCTGGAAACAAGCTGGTTCTAGCAAACAGGCACTGACCGGCACAAAAGTCCAGTCTTCCTAGCCAGTCTGGCTCAGCCCTGTGACTGGAGGTTGGCCCACCCTCTACTCCCCCACTACAGCAGCTGGATCCTGAGAACACAGGCTTCATCGGTGCAGACACCTTTGCTGGTCTGGTACACAGCCATGAGCTGCCCCTGGACCCTACCAAGTTGGACATGTTGGTGGCTCTGGCTCAGAGCAACGAACGGGGCCAGGTCTGCTACCAGGAGCTGGTGGACCTGGTCAGTGCCATGGTGTGTGGGCAGCAGGGGAGGGGCCCTAGTCCTGACCAAGCACAGCACCCTGACCAAAGCTGGGTGGGCAGGCAGCTTACTGGGTAGGGCTTACCGACCTGGGCAGTGTGGTATAGGGTATCCGACTATTAGCAGGCGCATAGCCGATTAGGGCAGGGCTTCACAGGAACAGTACTGTCACCCACACTAAACCCCTTCTCCTCAGATGAGCAGCAAGCGTTCCAGCAGCTTCAAGAGGGCCATTGCTAACGGACAGCGGGCGCTGCCCCGGGACGGACTGCTGGATGAGCCAGGCCTGGGCATCTACAAGCGGTTTGTGCGCTATGTGGCCTACGAGATCCTGCCCTGTGAGGTGGATCGCCGCTGGTACTTCTACCGGCACCGCAGCTGCCCGCCCCCTGTGTTCATGGCCTCTGTCACCCTTGCCCAGGTGGGCCTGCCCACATGCTGCCCCGGGGCCTCCTGAGTCCCTAGTCTTGACCAGCTCTAACACTAGTGTCCCCAGATCATCGTGTTCCTGTGCTACGGGGCACGTCTCAACAAGTGGGTGCTCCAGACCTACCACCCCGAATACATGAAGAGCCCTCTAGTGTATCATCCGGGACACCGTGCTCGCGCCTGGCGCTTCCTCACCTACATGTTCATGCATGTTGGGTAAGTGAGCCTTGGGGTCCCAGAGTCCTGTCTCCTCACTTCCCAGCATGTGCCCATTGACTTTGAAGGCTTAACTCCCACAGGGGGGTTGCAGCTTCCTGGGGTAGTCCGGGGGTAGTCAGGGCACACATCTGATCTCCCCTCCCCAATGCTCGTTTGTGGCCAGGCTGGAGCAGCTAGGGTTCAATGCCCTCTTGCAGCTGATGATCGGGGTGCCCCTGGAGATGGTGCACGGTGTACTTCGCATCAGCCTGCTCTACCTGGCTGGAGTGCTGGCAGGTGAGACGGGCACATTGGTGACTGGGTCCCCTGCCTACCATGCCTGGTGAGCTGAGGGCCAGCTGTGCCTTCCCCTCTCCCTTTGCCCACAGGCTCCCTGACTGTCTCTATCACAGACATGCGTGCCCCTGTGGTAGGGGGCTCTGGAGGGGTCTATGCCCTGTGCTCAGCACACCTGGCCAATGTTGTCATGGTAACGGGACTGCCCTTTCGGGAGGTGGGAAGGGGCCCACTGGACATGCTTCACAGCCCGTCTGTCTGCCCCATCAGAACTGGGCTGGGATGCGGTGTCCGTACAAGCTGCTGAGGATGGTGCTGGCTCTGGTGTGCAGTGAGTAGTGGGGCAGGGGGGGGGGCGCTGGGAGGCCCTCTACCTGCAGACAGGGCCCCTCCCACCTGTTGCTCCCTCTGCAGTGAGTTCCGAAGTGGGCCGGGCTGTGTGGCTGCGCTTCTCCCCACCACTGCCTGCCTCAGGCCCACAGCCCAGCTTTATGGCACACCTGGCCGGTGCAGTGGTAGGTGTAAGCATGGGCCTTACCATCCTTCGAAGCTATGAGGAGCGCCTGAGGGACCAGTGCGGCTGGTGGGTGGTGCTACTTGCCTATGGCACCTTCCTGCTTTTCGCCATCTTCTGGAACGTCTTTGCCTATGACCTGCTGGGTGCCGATGTTCCCCCTCCACCTTGACCTGCTCCTTAGGGCCACATGGCTAGCGCCTGGCCTGCAGTGGGTCAGCCACGAGGTGGGCCTGCATGTCTGCCCTATGAATGGACCCCTCAGGGCTGCTCTTCCCCCCGGGGGCAGGCAGGCCCTGTGGTCTACCAGGTTGAGGCCAAGCCTTACTGCAGCCCTTGCCACCCTCCCAGGCCTTTCTGGGGAGGGTGTTGCTAGACCAGGGCTGGGTGGAGGTCCTTGAATGTAGCCCTGGAGAATATCCCCTCCCTCCCTCCCGATCCCCAGGACTTGCAGTCTGAGCCTTTTTGGAGAATGAATAAATATTTTACACAGCACTAGGTAGCTGTCCTGGGGCTCTGCAGGCTTGTCTGCCCCCTCACCCAGACGGTATGGGACACCTCCCCTCCAGGATGGTCTGTGCTCCCTTTCTCCTTGAAACTCTGCACCTGGCATGAGTTAACTCCTCCAGGCCAGGGCCAGAGGCAGGGCCGGTGGTAAGAGACTGTGGACTTCCAGGTCAGCTCAAGTTCAGCAATCGTTTATTGGGCTACAAGGGCTTCCAGTCTCCTGTTCTTTCAGCCCCCTTCCAAAGACAAGCTCACACAGATCCAGGTTCACTTGGCCTGGGCTGTTATTCTTGGTAGGCCTACAGTCCTTGTGGGAGGCCCAGTTGGGGTGAAGTTCAGGCAGCAGGTCAGGGTATAGCTTCCACCCCACAGCCGAAGTCTGCAATGCTGTCTTCACAAGAGGAAGTCTACAGCCCTAAGGCACAAGGGTCCTGGGGTCCAGAGTTACTAGCCACCTGAATCCTGACGAGGTCCTGCATGACCTCCCAGGCCACTCTCCCACCTGGGCCAGAAACAGCAGGCAGTGTTTGGCTGTGCACTGCACGGCTAGCAAGCTAGGCACTGTAAGCCGCCGCTTCTTCGTACATGAAAGCTGCCACCTCAGAAGCTCCTACCACCAGGACTGCTATAAAAAGTGACAGGGAGGTTCTGGGGATAGCTTCTTGGCCTATCCCAACTGGGGCAGATGCTTCCTACTCACTCCGAGACGGTGACAGTGCGGAGCACAGATCAGCAGAAAGCCGAGTTCTGCTCCTCCAACTCCGGGGATGGGGTGGGGAAGACAGTGGACAACGGCTGCAGCAGCGGATCTTCTAACAGACCCGGGGTCAAGGGGTCCTAGACGCAGGCGTTCTCCAAGGGAACCTGCAGGCCCCGCCCTTGAAGAGGCTCCGCCCCATGACTGCAAGAAACGGAGAGTCCAGCCGTGCACCCGCAGCTTCCTCCTCAGCAGCCGCTGCAGGTCCTTTCGTGTCAACGTGTCACGTGTTTGCTTCTCAGCCATCAATGGCCGCAGGCACCTCCTCCCGATTCCCAGGGAAGCCCCGCGAGGGCGGTCTGACCCGCCGGTCTCCCTCCCACTCCTTCCCTCAATTCCGCGGTCCTACCAGCGCTCCAGACGCTCCAGGTTCCCGCGGACACCGGCATAGCGGGCTAGGACAGCGGTCCAGTAACTGGTCCCCGGAACGGCATTTCTCAAAGGCCGCTGCCACGTTCCCGTGCAGTGGGCAGGGGGCGGGGCTTGAACGGCGAAGGGGCGGAGCTTTGGTCTGAATAGTGAAGACAGCTCCTGGCTACTGTGGGGCGGGGCCCGTAGAGAGTGCGGCCACAGCGTCGCGATCAGCGTTTCGTGAACTGGCTCAGCAGCCGCGAGGCTCCGCCTTTGCTCACGTGTCCGCATGCCAGCTCCGCCCCACGCCGGAAGTTCCGGTGGCGGGTCGCCGACCGGGCGGAGCTGATCGCTGCGCGGGCTGCGAGACCTAGGTGGCCGGGCGCGGAGCCCAAGCCGTGCCGCGCGGCGCCATGAAGGGCAAGGAGGAAAAGGAGGGCGGCGCGCGGCTGGGCACTGGCGGTGGCAGCCCTGATAAGAGCCCGAGTGCGCAGGAGCTCAAGGAGCAGGGGAACCGGCTCTTCGTGGGCCGCAAGTACCAGGAGGCGGCGGCCTGCTACGGCCGCGCCATCGTGAGTGCGGGGGCGGGGGCGGGGGCGGGGCCCGATGTGCCTCCTAGTTCTGTGATTCCGGGACGATTTTTCTGGCAGCCAGGGCTCGGTGGCTAGCTTGTTCCCCTGGCTCCCGGATTACTGTTCCCGAGCCCAGGGCTGGTTGACTGGGAACTGATGGGCGGGATGCTTGATCGAGGCAGGCTTAGGATAACAACCAGGAACCCTTGCCCCTTGAGGCGCCCAAGCTCAAAGCTGGGAGAGAGGTTCTGGGTAATTTTCACAAAAGCAGTTGGAGTTAAGAGAGCACACAGCCAGAATCCGGAGCTGTGACAACCCGGAAACCTCCAGTTTCTCGATTCCAGCTCATGGGCTCCAAAGCTGGAGCATTACCCAGATCATTGGTGGCTGTCATCTTCCTGGGATAGAGGGGTCCAGTTGAGCCCACACTCTTTTATTTGCCTGCCTTTGGTCCCCAGACCCGGAACCCACTTGTGGCAGTGTACTACACCAACCGGGCTCTGTGCTATCTGAAGATGCAGCAGCCTGAACAGGCACTTGCTGACTGCCGGAGAGCCCTGGAGCTGGATGGGCAGTCTGTGAAGGCACACTTCTTCCTGGGGCAATGCCAGCTAGAGATGGAGAGTTATGATGAGGCCATTGCCAATCTGCAGCGAGGTGGGCTGACAAGATGCCAGGTTGTGGGCACCTTGGGGCCAGGATTGTTGGCGAGTGTAACTTAAAGTGTTCACTACCCCAGCCTATAGTTTGGCCAAGGAGCAGCGACTCAACTTTGGAGATGATATCCCTAGTGCCCTCCGCATTGCTAAGAAGAAGCGCTGGAACAGTATCGAGGAACGGCGCATTCACCAGGAGAGTGAGCTGCACTCTTATCTCACCAGGCTCATTGCTGCTGAGAGAGAGAGGTGGGTCTCCCCCTACCATGCTACTTCCTCGGATTGACACTGAGTCACCAGCACAAGTGTTTATTGAAAGACAACACTGGCACATGGGAAGCCCCCGAGGAAAGAGGCCTGAAGTGGGGAAGGCTCTGGTCAGGACCATCACTGACTTGCTTCTGGTTAACCCTCAGGGAACTGGAAGAGTGTCAGCGGAACCACGAGGGTGATGAGGACGATGGCCACATCCGGGCCCAGCAGGCCTGCATTGAGGCCAAGCACGTGAGGGTGCCCCTAGTCCACATGTGGGTCGTTGTGTGTGTGTTTTTGTGTGTGGCATGGAAAGTGCCCCAGCCTATGGTGGATCTGTTGGCCCATGCATGACATGAGTGCCCTGGTGGACATAAGGTGTGTGTGTCTGTGTGGAGGAGATGAGTTGCCCACACATGGCACTCAACTCTGCAGGATAAATACATGGCAGACATGGATGAGCTCTTCTCTCAGGTGGACGAGAAAAGAAAGGTGGGTATTCCTTGAAGCCTGTGGGCAGGTGCTGGGGTGATCCTTCCAGTTCCAGACATTTTTCCCATTGTGCCGTAGAAGCGAGATATCCCTGACTACTTGTGTGGCAAGATCAGCTTTGAGCTGATGCGGGAGCCCTGCATCACACCCAGTGGTATCACTTATGATCGTAAGGACATTGAGGAGCACCTGCAGGTAAGGGTCCATGGGCCTTGGGACTAGGATTGGAGGCATACTCAGGTGGTTGAACACTCTGACTCTGTTGTTGCAGCGTGTGGGCCACTTTGACCCTGTGACCCGGAGCCCTCTGACCCAGGAACAGCTCATCCCCAACTTGGCCATGAAGGAAGTCATTGATGCATTCATCTCTGAGAACGGCTGGGTAGAGGACTACTAAGACCCCATATCCTGCCTGGCACCCTGGCCCAGGAGGGTCTGGAAACAGAAGCTCCAGTTCCTGTATATAGTTTGTGTCCCTGGGCCTACCCCCATCAGTCCTTGCTGATGGGTTCTGAACTGCTCCCCTTCTCGGCATATCCCTTGCTGGGCCATGAGCCTCCCCTGCCCCCCTTCTGGGCTGGAAAGCGGGTAAGGGTGGGCTGAGGTTGCTGCTGCTGCCACTGTCCTGTAATAAAGTCTGTGAGCACTACATTGGCATGTGCTGGTGCTGTGGGCTCGCCAGTTGCCTGTTTCGCTAGCCAAGGAAGGTAGAAATGAAGACACTAGTATCCAGATTGAGTGTGGCGTGCCACCACCGGTCAGGGAAGTACAGCACCTGACAGAAAAGAGCACAAAGATTGGCTGGGGCTTTTCGGATTGACCCACCCTCTACCTACCAGCCACTGACTTCACCAGCCTGGATGGTACATTCCAGGGGCCGAGTTGATGGGGCTAGGGATGGGTATGTTTCCTGAAGCCAAGCCAGTGTGGTCTTGTTGGGGTGGAACTCTGGTGTTTTCTCAGGCGGGTAGAGGAACCAGCGCTGGAGGAAGAAGTATAGGTCACTCTTGCGTGCTTTGGACTATAGATTCCCAAACTTCAGCTCCTACCCTTGTACCCTTGTACTGACCTTCCGACCATAAATCACCTCTGAGAAACCAGGCCCATGCCAGTGGAAGGGTACCCCAGATCCAGCTCCTGTGGGGTCAGTTGTGAATAGCTGATGAACAAAGTATGTCTAGGCTTCCCCAGTCTGTTTTGAAGAAGCACCCACCTGCAATTCCAAAGCTGTAAGCAGGGGTGGTTCCCAGCAGACGAAACGGAGGTGGAGAATAATGCTGGAATAGCGGTGCCCACTCAGTAAAGTTGTTGTCTCCAAAAAAGTAGAGCGTGTCTGCCAGCAGAGAAGATAAGAGGCAAGAATACTGGCAGCAGTGGACCCCTAAGTGCCCTGTTCCCAACGGCCAGTCTGGCTCACCATTGCCTAGGGATGTGGGATCCTGGGGGTGCAGCAGCTGTTCCACATACTCCTGGAAGGGCAGGTCCACTACAAGAAGGGGGTGTCCAGTCGGGACTGGTCAGTCCTGCCTTTGGGGTGCCGGCAAGCAGGCAGGCCTTAAAGGGTGTGTTAGCTCACCTTTCTGGTATGAGTAAGTGTTGGCTGTACTCAAGCGAACAACGTTGTCCCCAAATGAGGCCAGCAGGTTTTCCCGAGAGCAGAGGGCCCTGAACCTCTGGGGTTGGAGGATAAGAGAACTGAGCAACTAGTCAATCAGGATTAGTTGCTCACGTGGGTTCAAATACTCACCGAGTTGTCCGTGAGTCCCTGTAATATGACCGGCTTGAGGAAGGCATAGCTGGGGGAGAAAAGGCAGCATGCTCAACTCTGCAGGGGCCTCTCCTGCCCACTAGGCAGTGAAGTTACGGCCTCAGAAGCCAAAAGACCATGCTTGGGTATATGCCGAGAATCATGCTGAAACTAGGGGTAGAGACACATACTGTTGCATGAACTCGGGGTATGTGAGGTGTGCCCGGCGCTCCACAGTACAGTGCTCCTCCTCTGTCACTGCTGCTGCAGTCCCCAGCCTGCTCTGCTGCCTGTGAGGACAACAGGTTAGCGCAACCTGCCAGGGCTCAGAGCTCAGACTCCCTACCGCCGCCCATTCCTGCCGCTCACCATCCCCCTTCGTCAGAGCCTGGCAGAACCGCAGTTACCAATGTACATAGTACAAAGAGCAAAAGTGGCCCGGGCCGTCTAGCCGCCGCCATGAACATACGGGTGCAGGCGCGCAGCACGCTGGGAATTTCGTCGACACTTGCGTAACCACGAGCCATTGGCCTATTGCCCCAACAACTGTAGCTATCGGCAAGTAGCAGCTAGCCCGGCCCCCGAGAGCTTGCTTCATACACAGGCACATACGCATGCGCACACACACACACACACGCATAAGCCTTCTCCTTGCGCGCGCACACAAAGACGTCTCTCTCACACACACACACAGACACATGCCCCTCAATCATTTCCTCAAGGCGGAGGGAAAACTATGCCGAGCAGCCATTGGCTATTGCGGGTTACCAAGGCTACAGCCCCCCTGCCGGAAGTCCCCTCCTGCGGCGCAGTCAAAGTGACAAGTGGCTTAACAGCAGCTCCTGTTTTTTATTGGGTTAACACGTTGCAGCCACATCCCATCCTGGTACGTGGGATGGGTAAGAGGCTGTGAGCCTAGTCAGGTGGACCTCGGGGTTGAGGCCAAGTCAGGAGTATTCGCAGAGATGGCCGCAGCCTGCAGGGCAGTGGGAGCTGCCTTCCAGCCATTTCATGATGTGCTGAAGATGGCCGCCATGGCTGCAGCCCTGACACCACACGAACAGACCTTTAACCACATGATGGCAGACAGCACACATGCTGGCACAGCGGTGGCACCTGGGATGGGAAGACTGTTCAGTTGGGTTCTGGGCTGCCTCCCTCACAAGACCCCCAATCCTGTCATCGCACCTGTCGCAAACCCAGCCGCGGCTGCTCATGGGCCGCTTGCAGTGACTGCAGTTGACGTGCAGCGTGGTGGAGGCTTGGTTGAGGCAGCTGACTGCCCTGCTGGTACTCAGCTTCACCACCTCATTGGACACATTCCAGAGGCAGAAGCGCTGCAGAAGGTCAATGTAGGATGTGTACCAGTGCTCCTAGGGGAAGGAACAGGTTCAGGTTAGTGTTTCCAGGCAAACTGGCGTAGGGGGTGCAGCAGGAAAGGGGCAGCCTCAGACGAGGGGACAAGCGGCTAGTCCGGGAGACCCGCTCTGAGCCATCACACACCTGGGTCTGCTCGTCGATGTCCTTGCGTACTCTCTCACCCAGCACAATGAGAACAGACACAGCCATCTGGACGTCACCCTGCTCAGCGTAGAAGTGCAACATGTCCCGTACCAACACGCTGAAGAAGTCAGGCGGCAGGCGGCTGTCATACAGTGCATGGGAGACAGAAAGGAGGGAGGAGGAGGAGTCCACCGGTGCCAGGGAAGCTGTGTCTGCCTCGTTGCCGCTTACATGTGGAGAGTCAGCTTTGTCCTGCAGATGCTCGGGCCCGGACGGTGTATCCACAATCTCATGACGCAGTGGGAAGGCCTCCTGTGGCAGCACATATTCAGGCTCCTCGGCTGAGAGGCGGGGGTGAGGAAAGATGGACCTGAGCCTAGGCTTCCCACTCGGCTCGGCTCCTGCTCAAAGAGCCACGCTCCAGGTCTGAGCCCTCTGTACCAACCCTACCTGCCCCAGTCCCACTCACGGTGCACATGTTCTGTGTCCAGTGGGTATAACTCATCCTCCTCTCCTTCCACATCACCCAGAAGGTAGTCAGCAGGCACATCACTCCCCTCAGTTTCCTCGTTGTCTGCCCAGCAGGGAAGGGAGGTCATTCAGGGAGTGGCTCCCAGCCCTATTCCCATCAACATACCTGCCTACCCTCATTCGTGATGAGTGTAGCTGAAGAATCAAGCAGAGCTGTGTCACTCCGAGTGTCCCCTTTGCTGCGATCTAGCCGAGTCTCACTGCCCAGCCCTGGGCCCATATCCTTCAGATTGAAGCTAGAGGTAGGGAAGGCTTGTGGGTGGCCAGGCCCTAGCAATCCACCGGGGCGGGGGAGGGTGGCCAAGGATCTACCTGTTCATGAGTGGTAGGCCGCAGGAGCTGCCTTTGCCGACACTGTGGTTGAGATTGGCAGAGGACACCAGGCCAGGGCTACAGTAGATAATCCGTAGCATGGTCCATGTCTGTGCCACCTAGGGGTAGGCACCAACCACTCGTAGGTCCTGGGCACCTAGCACCCAAGCTGGCCCCCATATCCTAGGCAGAATCATATACCAATCCATGGCCTTAACCATCCCACTGGGGAAATTGTGGCACATGGGAGAAGCAGTCTCCACCCTCCAGTAGCACAACTGTGAGGCTCCTGGTGCTAGGGTTGGCCAGGGGAGAAGAGAGATGGCACACAGGAGGCAGCTCCAACGCCAAGAGTGAGGCAGGAGGGGGCTGTGGGCACTTCACTCCCTAGGCCTCCACCCCTAGGTTGACCCCAGGGTGGGGTCATGTTCTGTCGCACATGATCTTTACACTGTCAAACACTTTGGCAAAGGCTGGCGTTCTGACTGACCAATGTGCTAAGCTCAGGGTGGTTGTGGGCATGGTGTCCCAACAGCAGCAGCCTCTGACCCAAATCATGGCCCCTGGACCCCCAGCCCCACATACCTGGTTACGGCCAAGCTCCCGAGCCACTTTCGCGTTGTGATCACAGAGCTCAGCTAGTGGCCTACCAGCCAGGGCATAACGCTCAGCTGTATCCACAAACCAGCTCATGCTGCCACCACCAGACTCTGTCTCAAAGACACTGAGCGCACTGGAAGCCAGGCCAGAAAAAGGTTCAGCAGGATCTAACTTGCGCTTGAAAAAGATGGGGTGGCGCCGGTCACCAGTATAGGGTTTGCGCCCAGATTCAGCAGCCACCAGGCTCTCCTTAGCAGCAAAGGCCAGGTCCCCAAAGAGGCCATAACAGAGGCCCTCAGGGTTGGCACGCTCAACAGGCTGGCTGGCATCACGAAACAGGTGCTGGCATAATGTGCTGTCCTTGGAGCCAGAGAGTAGGAAAGAGGGATCATGTGGGTGGCGCCAGGCAATGCCTGTTGTGACATCTCGGTGCTCTTCAAACATAGCAGCTGGCACGAAGGGCCGGCGTACATCCCATACATAAATGTTGTGGTCCACCATCATGGAGCATGTGGCAAGGTGGTGGCGGCACTCAGGCCGCCATTTCACTCGGGCCACTGAGGCGATGGTCTGCACACAGTGCATCTCCTTGGCACGGTGTGTTGTCATGTCCCAGACCTTCACCATCTTGTCTCGTCCACCTGTGGCCAGCCAGCCCCTGGGGAGAAGGTTCCACTCAAGCTCTCAGTGACCTCTCAGGGGGAAAGGAGACCCTGCCACACCCCAGCCTTACTGCCCTCCTCACCCCCACACCACACCTGTCCTCTGGGTGCCAGTCACAGCAGAAGACAGGTCCGTTGTGCGCTGTGAACATCCTTTCACATCGGTCGGGTCGGCGGATGTCCCAGAGCTGCACGTTGCCATTCTCAAAGGTGGAGGCGAAGGTGAAGTAGTCGCGGATACTGAACTGCACATCCCGCACACTCTCAGACTGGCCTGTGGGCATGCGTCAGTAAGGAGGAAGTGAGAGGGCTGGCCCTTGGGATGCGGAGCCCTTAAAGGCGCTAGAACAGTGTCATTCACCAGCCTGTGGCCAAGCTGGGAAGGACAGAGAACTGAGGGAACACCATCAGAATCTGCCTAGAGCCGGGCGTTGGTGGCGCATGCCTTTAATCCCAGCACTCGGGAGGCAGAGGCAGGAGGATCTCTGTGAGTTCGAGACCAGCCTGGACTACCAAGCGAGTTCCAGGACAGCCTCTAAAGCCACAGAGAAACCCTGTCTCGAAAAACAAAAAACAAAACAAAACAAAACAAAAAGAATCTGCCTAGAGCGGGTCTCTGAAGTCTAGGCCAGAAAGAACTCCCAGGTCTCAATTCCCTGGATTCTGTGAGCACTGAGGGTATAGGAGCCCAACCCAGCTGGTTGTCTACACATCCCTGGGGCCAAGGCTTGTGAGACCATAAGAATGGAAGAGGAGGTTGCCTCATTCTCTGCTCAACACCTCTGTCAGCTGCCTAGTTAGTCCCAAACAACCGAAGGGCTCAGAGACCATATCCACCTCAGAAGACCACAATATCCAGGCTTCCCTGCCACAGACAGCTCAAGATCTATCTTAACCCACAAATTCTCCAAGGGTTCAATGCACTGCTTGTGCTTCATTTGATCTCATTGAGAACCAGGGAGAAAGCTGGGCATTATTGCCTTTAGTCCCAGCACTGGGGGGGGGGGGCAGAGGCAGGTGGATCTCTGTGAGTTCAAGGCCAGCCTGATTTACAGATCGAGTTCCAGGACAACCTCCAAAGCTACATAGAGAAACCCTGTCTTGAAAAACAAACAAAAGAACCAGGGAGAAGCCTTTCAGTGGTGACTCACGCCTTGAATCCCAGCACTCAGGAGGCAGAGACAGGCAGATCTCTGTGAGTTCAAGGTTAGCCTGGTCTATATAAAGCAAGTTCCAGGACAGCCAGAGCTGTTATATAGAGAAACACTGCCTCAAAAAACAAAAACAAAAACGCTCTACCTTCCGCAGCAGCTGCACCCAGTCTCAGTGCCCACCAGTCTGACGTCCTGCCTCCCCCCAACCATCCATCCCTCACTGGGACAAGCCCTCTCCCTCTGCCTCTGCCCCCACTCTCCCAGTGCTGTTCAGCCTCTGACAGTACAGCTGAAGACTCTGATGAAGCTTGTAAGGTCTACTGCCTGCAGAAACACACACCTACCCCACCCTGTGTCTGTGAACCTCACCAGAGAAGGTGCTGACAGAGTCTTTCCTTCGGAGGTCAAAGCACTTCATGAAGCCATCCTGAGAGCCACTGAGCAGCACATGGGCCTCAGTAGGGTGGAAACAGACTTTGTTCACTGTGCGTTTGTGTTCTGTGAACAACTGATCCTGCTTGTTTCGGGATGGCCGCCCTAGGTTCCACGTAACCACCACACCATTGGTGGCGGCTGTGGCCAGGAGATTCTCGTCCATCTGGTGCCAGACCACATCAGCACAGCTCAGATTGAGTGAAGGCTTCCGGCCCACACGCAGATTCAGCTTCTCTACAAACTGCTCTTCTTCAATGGCGTAAATCTTGAAGATGCTTCGGCCTGCCACAACAACCTGGGCTGCATCGCGGCATACACTGATGGCATTAGCCGGTGCGTCCAGGTGGCAGTGCATGGTGCGGCCTGTTAGTGCGCTGCCACTCAGGGCTGTGGTAACTCGGGACATCTTTTCCATGGCTACACAGGGATCAGGGGCAAGAGGTCAGTGAAATGTGCTGGTCAGCCATGGTGTCCTAACAGTTCAGGTTTGTCCT